CATCACAGAATAGTGCAGAATTCAAACAAGGTAATAAAAAAATGGCTGCCATTGCTGCGATGATTTTTAAATTCCCAAACTATTATAAAACACTTCACATCAAACAAATCAATCTTATTTTGGTAATTTTTATATGACAAAATATATCTACTAAATGATAAAACTTGTATTTATTTACAATTAGAGTTATGTGGTTTATTTGTTGAGCATTTCTGGTAGTTTTTCAGTCAGACGCTACCAAAATCCGTAAATCTCGGGAAGTCTCGGGGAGTCCGAGATTTTATCAATTTTATACTGAAAAACGTATCAGATTCATTTCCCGTTAGATATACTGTTCCCAGGTTCAAGTTTTGAATTTTTTAACTTTTAGAATAACTAAATCCCATCTTATAAAAAGTGAATTTCCTTGAGTGAACAGTTTTTTTATGCACAAAAATCCTAATAGATATCAAAGAAAAACACTGCAAGTATACTCCAAAATAATTTTGACTTTTACATGTACATCATCATGTGAAAGCCACACAAAACATTTTGAATGAATTATTTCCTCCTTGATACATTCATGACAATCCATTCACATTTTACTAGTAAGAAGCAAAATTAAATGCATCTAAGAATTGAATTCAAATAAAATAAATCCCAATATTTTATGCAAATTGATTTCAATAGATTTCAAGCACTGCGAATAAAAATCCAAAATGAAAAATTTGAAGGGACATATGAAGAAACACATAACATATCCATCTGAAAACACTTGAATCAAAATAGCTATTTCTTGTTTCACTGACAACTGGACAATACTATGTATAAGGGTTAAAAATTTAAAGATTCATTTATTATGTAAAAACAGGTTTAATTTTCATACATATTAAAATGCAGTTCCGAAAATCTTTCACTGATTTAAGTTATTGGGTCAAAATTAGATTAATCATCTATATTGGGGGCTTAAAACAATGAAAACCAATAATGTTTTCTTCCCTATCAATTTTATAATAGAATAACCCTAGGTGAAGAAAAACTTCAGGAAAAAAGCATGCTGTAAGGTTGGGTTAGGTGAATAAAAATCAGTACAAGTAGCATCAAGGTAGACTCAACTCTTAACAACACCAACTGGTCAATTGTATTGTCAAAAATCTGGTTGAACAATAGGTAAAGGTAAACAGCAACACCCATAATCAAGTCACAGTAAATGGTCTTTTGAAAAATCTCATTGCAAATTTATTTGCTGTAACTCGTTTAAAGCCTTTTTCTGTAATGAAAAAGGAAAGTATGCTAGATACACTTACTGGAAATGTGAAGATATGATTGAAGCTTTAAATTTTCTCCTGGACAACGTATATGTACGTTTCTGGCGATAAAATGTATCAACAGGTAGTAGGTATTCCTATGGGCACTAACTGTGCCCCTTTAATAGCAGATTTATTCCTGTATTGCTATGAATCTCAGTTTATGACCAAACTCAGTAAAGACACGTCATTGTTACATTTGGTTGATACATTCAACAATACCTACCGTTATCTTGAAAAAGACTTGATGATATTTTTTGTTAAATAATCAAGAGTTCTCTAAATATACTACAGAAATTTATCCAGAGGAACTTACTTTAAATAAATCTAACATAAACAGCAGTAATTGTCCTTTTCTAGATTTAGACATTTCAATTTTTGAAGGGAAACTCCATACTAAAATTTACAACAAAAGAGACAATTTTTCATTCCCTATTGTTAATTTTCCCTATTTAGACAGCAATGTTCCTTTGGCTCCATCATACGGTGTTTATATATCCCAACTAGTTCATTATGCCCGTGTGTGTAGTGATGTCATAGATTTTAATGAATGTAATCAATCCATCACTGGTAAATTATTAAGTCAGGGATTTCGTTACCATAAATTGCTTAAAACTTTTACTAAATTCTTTCATAGATACAAAGATTTGATTAGTAAATTTGGCTGTACCTGTAGAAAACTTACTAAAAATGGTATTTCACATCCTAAATTTTATGGTTATATTGTACTAAAAGCGCGGAAATCACTATGTGATCCATGTAAACTCATCGAGCCTTTAAACAAACTTATTAGTAAAGGTTATCTTACCAATGCAATGTTGTAATTAGATCTTTGAATATAGTTTACATTGGCACAATGATCAATTTTGTCATCAGTAAATTAAAACATAACTAAATTTGTATTCTTTTTAAACGTTTTTTTGGAATGTATAAATACACATCCACGTTCATTTTCTATTTAGAGATTACTCTATCTATATATTACATTATACATAATTATTAACAGGTTAACTCCTAACTATCCTACTGCCTGTCCTTACTTTTATTTTGGCATTGCACAAGTTGTCTTCTTTGACTGTCCATGACGTTAAAACACTGAATCCCTGGGATGTGTTTTAGTTGATTTTAGTCTCTGATGCATGATTTTTTATTATCAATTGTTTTTGGCTTTTAACTAGCTTTCAGTAACTGCGAGTACCCTCAAATTGTACTTTCGTGTTAATTTGACCTGTTGATAAAATTTTAAATTAATTTTGTTATTTAATGTTTACTTATTCAGTGTTATATCTAGTCTCACTATTTTTAATATATACCACCTTTGATAAGTGTGTAGTATGATGATAAATTATCACTTTTGTTCTCGTACTAGGAACAACAAAAATTATTTCCGTACTCCATGTATTACTTACAACAAAATTATTTTTATTTACCTGTTTACGTTATTTTATTTGGCAGCATTTTGTCCAAGGTTATGGTTGTCTTTCTGATATTGTTGTACATCTAACCCCGTTGTTTTATTAATTTTGTATTTACATTGTGTCATAGATCAAATGTATTCGTTCAGTGTATGTTCACTTGTTTTTGTTACTCTTTAAATACAAACATAACAAAATCCATGATTTTCAGTCAGTCCAAACAAAATGGTGAAACATCACATATTTACTATGAGAATGAAGCCATAAAGAGCGTATCAGAATATTCATTTTTGGGAATGTTGACAAAATGTAATGGAAATTTATCACAAAGTACTTTAGAGCTGACAAAAAAGGCAAAACAAGTATTTTTGGCAATAAAATCCTATACTAAATCATTGAATAATCTACCTATAAAAGTAGCAAATAATCTTTTTGATTCTTTAGTGAAACCAATTATGACCTATAATTCAGAAGTAACATATTTGGATACATATATTTCTTTTCATAGAGCCAAAAACAGAACCTTATCTTCAGGAAAACAAATTAATCAACTTGATTTTACAGACAAAGCCCCTATTGAAAATATGCATCTTAAATTTTGTAAATCTACTCTAGGAATAAGAAAAAATGCATCCAATTTAGGAGCAAGAGTTGAATTAGGAAGATTGCCTATAGAATGTTTTATTAAAACACAAACCCTTTTATATTTAGCTAGACTATATAATAATAATATTAATCCATTGATAAAGGAAGCTTTTTCTCTAGCACAGTCTCAAGATTTGACTGGAACTTATTCATGGTATACATATGCAAAAAATATTGTTGAAGAGACTTATATTGACCTTAATATTCTTTCTACTTGTAAGGACATAAAGATGTAAATAAAATAAAAAAAGATATAAAGTTTAAAATGAAAAATAGATATGAAGATTTATTTGAAAAAACAAATTTTGAAACATTGATGATAAAAGTAAACTTTATCTATATAAAAAACTTAAAAAAGATTGCAAACTAATTTTCAGATAAGGAGATTGATCACTAAATTTAGACTAAGTGATCACTCCCTCTTAATTGAAAAGGGGAGATTTTCAAAGTGCGAAGGTCAGTTTGCTGATGTGCTATGGTCTATTTGATGTGTGATGGCTAGTTTAATATCTATAGATGTGCAGTTACGAGAAGATTTTTTTAATAGTTAGTATATAATTCTACATTCATTTTTGTCTATGTCTGTCCTTAATTTCAGTTGCATACTAAATAAGAGATCGTCCTCATTGATTTTTCTGCATGTGGACATAATTCTGCGTTAAGGTTTTATCTTTACTTTGTTCCTCTCATGGGTTCTTCGTTTACCATAATATGATAATACGGAGAGTCTGTCAGTGGACCCGTATGTATTGAGAGAATGCAACGCTAAATCGCATGTAAAAGGAACTTTTTGTAGATTTAAAAAAAAAAACACTACCCGTTTGTAAGCCCTCATCAACATAAAAACCTCGAAAACTGCTTCTAAAATACAAATTGACTTCTACATCGACATGAAAAGCATTGAAAATGTGTTTGTGTAGACCATCTCACTTCAGAGTTACCATCATTGCACTTCGGTGTAGCTATCAACAAGATAGCATCACAATGAAACCATTGCACTTCAGTGTGATAAAAAACGCACTTCAGTGTCAAACACACAAACGAAATGAGGAGCAAGTGCAGAGAACTAATTTTAATTAGATTGGGGCATACTGTAAACCAACTAATTTTCACGAGCGATTTATTTTCGCGACTTTAGCGATTAGAAAAAAAAAGCGAATATAAATCATCGCAAATATGTAAAACTTGGATGTTTTCTTATTCAAATACATCAAGAAAATTTGAAAATCATGAACTTTAATAGCCGCGAAGTGGACTAGAAAGAGCGAAACACGAAATAAAGTATCCGTGGTTTACAGTATAATGTTCAGTGGTTGACATTTGTTGATGTGGTTCATAAGTGTTTCTCGTTTCTCGTTTCTCGTTTTTAGACAGTTGATTTTCCTGTTTGAATGGTTTTACACTAGTCATTTTTGGGGCCCTTTATAGCTTGCTGTTCGGTGTGAGCCAAGGCTCCGTGTTGAAGGCCGTACTTTGACCTATAATGGTTTACTTTTACAAATTGTAACTTGGATGGAGAGTTGTCTCATTGGCACTCATACCACATCTTCTTATATCTATATATGTAATCTCTAGCCAACACATATACTGTTGGGTAGTCAGTGCATATTTAATACATACTGTGATGACAAATATCTATAACTTTCTCTTTCAGACTGTAAGTCATCACCATGGAGCTTTGTGCTGAACTTAGCCTACTCTTTTGCTGGTAAGTTTTTAAGTTACAATCCAATGGTGCAAATTTTACCTTTTTATAGCAGAGACCATTACAATTTTTCTTTAAACACAGATTTTAATGAGTTTTTCTGGACTGAATATACGCGTAGGCAAAATAACTGTTTGGGAATATTTATACAGTAACCACTTTAGAAACAGCCTTGAAGTTATCAGTATATTCTAGCTATGAAGGCCTTGAAGGATATAGACATATCCCAGGAGAATATCCGAACATTGAAATGAATGGAATAGACAATAATTTCACAATTAATTGCTACAAGACAAGAAAAAACTAACATTCTATTTATAACTTTTTATTTTACATTTTGAATTTCTATTTATACTGTTTTTACTTTCACTTTCATTTTGTAAACAATAACGTCGTCAAGACTACGTTCATTATGACTTTAAATTCTGTGAACCGCACAACCGCAGAATCTGTACTTCAATGTAATTTTTCAATATTGTAATTGTCCTGAAGACGCCACGCTTGTTGGCGAAACATGTTGACCATAATAAATTAATCACCATGCGGTAATTGATGGGTGTTGTTGTCTTTAATGTCGTTTATTTGCTTTTATAGTGAAAGGCAACTGTGAATACCGCGTGGTATCCACCCGCTATTACCCAACCGCAGAATTACTACCTCAGGTGTTGGTTCACCACTTTTTAAATTGAAGTTTACTTTTTTACTGTGAACCCCTGCATCCGTAAGGAGCCACCTTTGCCACACTAGCGTTGTACCTAACAACCACCCAGCATGAACGAGAACACAGACCATTTCGAGGACACGTTATCAACCACAGAGAACGAACAAGATTCCACACAACTGTCAAAGAAAAGAAGAAGAGAAATAGAAGGAACCGCAGAAACAGTACCTCAGGAAGCCCCCAATTTTAGAGTTACTCAAGACAACCTAGCTGAATTTAGGACACTTCGCAAAATCAACATAAAACACGTACGAAGCACACACCATTTAAAATACCTGACCACTTGTTTAGAAAATCGCAACCTGCCGAAATCTTTAAGATTCAACATCAAACCACAAGTTCCAGATACCACACCACGATTTTTAGTACAATGGGAAACCGCACAAATTAACTTCAGTCTTGAATTGGTAAAACAACTTATAGGATACTGGTCAGAAAGATGCAAAACGACTCAGGAACAAATAGATACCGCAGAATCGGACCTCAGAGAGAAGACAGAAGAGGGAGAAATGAACCACATAAACAATCTTATTCAAAAAGTAAGAATTTCAATGGACAAGGAAATGAAAACAGGACCACCACAAAAGAGAAATTAGATAAAAGAAAGAACCGCAAATTTATCAAAAGAAATAAATACAAACAATTGAAAAAATCAACCCAACTAAACTCAGTCGTTAACATTTCAAACCACCCACTATCTAAACCACAATTAGCGTTACTTAATAAAGGACTAGGCTTCTGCCCAACACCACCGAATCTAGACCCTATAAAAACTCTTAGAGACACATACTTATTTAACCGTAAATTAAAATTATTACACCACTTCCAAGGAGAACCATATACACCCACCACAAAACTGTATAAACAACCATCAGGATGGACACCAAAAGCGAATGTAAATAAGGATCTAGACAAATATATAAACGTAATCACAGAAGAGATAACCAACAACCAAACCACCAATACAAACAAACCGCACAGAAACTTGCACCCAGACGAGTTTAAGGCATTAAAGGAACTCCTGAACAACCAGGATATAATAATCAAACCCGCAGACAAAGGAGGAGCCGTCGTAGTTATGAACAAAACCGACTATCTAAATGAAGTATACAGACAACTAAACGATGAAAGTATCTACAAGAAAGTAGAAGACGATCTCAACTCCTAATTTATAAAGAAATTCACGGACTTTCTCAACATAACGAAAAACAAGATGGACAAGAATTTAGAGAAATACCTCATTCCGAAACAATGGAGGACACCGATTTTTTATACACTACCGAAGATCCACAAACCGGGAAATCCGGGAAGACCAATTGTCTCCGCTATAGACGCACCCACATCAAGAATGTCCGAAGTCACAGATGATATACTTAAACCACTAATAAAAAACATTAACTCATACATAAGAGATACTAACGAATTCCTAATGAAAATAAAAAACATAAGCCCAGTACCTGCAAAAGCATTCTAATAACCGCAGATGTTTCGGCACTTTACACATCAATTCCACATAGAGAAGGACTACTCGCCACCAAAGAGATGCTAGACACAAGAGAGGAACAAACAATACCCACCTGGATGGTCTTAAGATGGATACATTTTATACTGACCTGCAACTGCTTCCGATTTGAGAACATTTACTATTTACAAAAACGCGGGACTAGCATGGGCACAAAAATGGCATCTGAGTATGCTATAATATTTATGGACAAATTAGAACGAAATTTTCTCAACACACAACCACACAAACCACTTGTGTGGTATCGATATATCGACGACATCTTTATGTTTTGGATATATCGACGACATCTTTATGTTTTGGCCCCACAATCGCGAGGCATTGGATGCATTCATGTCGGACCTCAACGACACTCGATTAAATTTACTTTCGAAATAAGCGAAACATCGATACTGTTCTTAGACACAAGAGTTATAATAGACAAAGAAGGAAATCTTACAACCACATTGTACAAAAAACCCACCGATGCAAATCTGTACCTACACTACAAGTCATGTCATCCGCTACACCAAAAAAACAGTATACCCTACAGTCAAGCCATAAGGATCAGATGCATATGCAGCACAATAGATGACTACCAGTTACACACACAAAAGATGAAAGAAAACTTTATAAAAAGAGGCTACCCCCCGGAAATCATAGAAAAGGCTATCAAAAATGCAAACGAAAAAGATCGGAACGAACTCTTCACACCAAGAATTGGAACCACAGAAGGAAATGTACAATTCATTATCACCCACCACCCATACAACCCAACAATAAGAAAAATTATCAACCAACGGAAAGGCATCCTAGAAAGATCACCTGAAACATACCATATGTCCCGTATGAAATTTGATGTAACCACACGTAAAACCACCAGCCTACGCCAATTATTAGTTAACACAGACATAAAACCGCCAAACCCAAAAGGAAACCGGCCGTGCGGCCGGAATTGCCATATCTGCACAAAGATGACCCATTCAACAGAAATAAAAAGCCACTCAAACGGAAAAACAATTAAAATCACGGAACCGATCACATGCTTAACCACCAGCGTTATATATATAATCAAATGCAAAAAATGCAGCAAACAATATATAGGTCAAACAGGGAACACCATTTGTGAGAAATTTTACGGGCACATGAATGACATCAAAAATAAAAACGAACATAAACCCGTTTCGAAGCATTTTAGCGCAGAAGGTCACAATACAAACGAAGTAACAATAACAGGCATCAAAACCACCGTTGCCAACGTCAACATACGACTACGCACAGAAGAAGCATATATTCACTACTTGAGTACGCAATCGCCGTGGGGACTTAACATAAGAAGATAATGGCAAAAACGAAAACAACTCCACGTAAACCGCAAGAACCGCTTTCCTTAAACTGTACCCGATGCCAAAAGAACTACAAGAATGTGAGCAGTTTAAGAAGACATTTTAATACATACCACAGACCGACAGTAACCAATTTTTCATGTTCCTGGTGCAACAAGTCCTTTATTAGGAGGGACTCGGCACATAGGCATATGAAAACAGATCACAATATAATCAATTCGAAGGGACTTATAGTAGAGGACAAAACACCACGAGAATTAGCTGAAAAAATCAAGCCGTGGATACCTCCAATTAATCACCATGCGGTAATTGATGGGTGTTGTTGTCTTTAATGTCGTTTATTTGTTTTTATAGTGAAAGGCAACTGTGAATACCGCGTGGTATCCACCCGCTATTACCCAACCGCAGAATTACTACCTCAGGTGTTGGTTCACCACTTTTTAAATTGATGTTTGGGAATATGCGCGTGGACAAAATAATTCTTCTGGAATACCTGTGTACATTCACATGTCAAAAAAATAACTAGCTAGTAACATCATACTGTTTGTTGACGTCTGGAAAATATGGCAGCCGACTCATGAATTGGCTCAAGATTTATAAACTATAATTAAATCTTTGTATTTAGTTCAGTATAATAATACAGTTTGTCCTTTACGAAAAGTAAATATCAAAAATTTTTAAATCTCAAAAAGGTTATATTCTAGCAAGGGTTAATTGGCAGCTGTGATTTACCTGTACACCTGACAGGTAACTAATATTAGACAGCGATCAGTCTTTTTGAAGTTGTTTTTATGTTTGACTGGTTTGCAACTAATTAATTTTAGCAATAAATGATTTAGTTGTCGAAATCAAATCGAAACTAATTAAATTCAAAGCATTTGAAATTATTTGAACTCTGGTGGATACTTGTCTCATTGACAATTATACTATATCTCCTTTTATATTTATGTCATACATGGATTTTACTTATATTTCATGCCTGTTCCAAGCTTATCACAAAATGGTCAGATATCATGAGATGTGGTGAATATTTATCAATTTGCATACAACTTATTGATTGATAAATAAAAAATGGAACAAATCTGTCAGTGGACCTTTATGAGGACTTTTTGTGGATATTGTCTCCTTAAGAATACAGGATTAAGGTGACACGCCGTGCTAAACAAACAGCACCAATCAGTCTAAAATGAATGTTGGGAATGTAAATTGTTAGATGAGTGAAATTTTCATGGAAAATATAGTGAATGATGAATATGATTGATTGATTGATTGGTGTTAACGCCACTTCAAATACTATTGTGCTATTTCGTGGCGGTCAGTTTTTATTGGTGGAGGAGCCAGAGTACCTGGAGAGAAACACTGACCTTTGGTAGGAAAACTGACAATCCTAGTCAATTAAGATTTCAGTGGAGTGCACATGCTCCGTGCGGGATTCGAACTCACAACCTCAGTGTCTGCAGGCTTTTTGTTATTTTACTTTTTTGTAAGAGTTATTTTAAAAATTCTCTTAAACGATCGGACAGATAATGGTGAAATCTGACGCAGTTGTAGAATACAACCTGAGGATGTGCGTTAAGGAATATAGCCCTACTTGAAAAAGGGAATAATCCAAAATTCTTACCTCTATATATTGCAATATGTGGTTATACCGGTAGTTTCTCATAAGCATAACTCAAAAAGGAATACAATTTCAGTTAATAGATATAAGAAGATGTGGTATGAGTGCCAATGAGACAACTCTCCATCCAAGTCAAAATTTATAAAAGTAAACCATTATAGGTCAAAGTACGGTCTTCAACACGGAGCCTTGGCTCACACCGAACAGTAAGCTATAAAGGGCTCCAAAAATTACTAGTGTAAAACCGTTCAAACGGGAAAACAAACGGTATAATCTATATAAAAAACGAGAAACGAGAAACACTTATGAACCACATCAACAAACGACAACTACTGAACATCAGATTCCTGACTTAGGACAGGTGCTAAACATGCTACAAGGAAATAATGGAATTAGTGAGGCTGGTCTGGGGGTATCCTTTTGTGTTATCACTCACAGCTCTGTTTTTTTTCTATCTTTAATAAACCTTGGTTAACTGCTTTTCTTTGATATTACAGATCAGATTTGTCCACCTGGAACATACATCAGATTGAAGATGTGTATACTGTTGAGCTTAGTAACACTATTAGATAAACAGGTAGAATACTATTTTGATGATGTGTAAAGCAATAGAATTGATTAATCAAATTATAAAATACAAATAAATAAATGAATTTGGAAACTTAAAATGTAGGCTTTTTATAATGCCATGTGAAAGACCATTAACAATCTGATTAAAATACAGATCCTATGTCCAAGCTTTGCTTACAAGGATAAAAAACACTTCGTTTTATTTTCTGTTTTAAAGACCTTTCAGGGTCCTCTAGTTTTGTCGGATTAATACACACCTTTAAAAATTTCATTGGCTGATGTAATGATTACTAGAACAAAAAGTTAAATGGAGTGTTATTATGAAAAATAAATTTTCTTTTTATAACAACATGAATAACCCCATATATATGTAGGTAAATACCAGCGACACAGGTCCAGATCCTGTATTGGTCTTGTTATACCTCTGCAAACAAAGAATTTGAGTTGTATTTGATAATTGCCTGTCTATCCTTCTGTCTGTACATGTATCTTGAAAGCACAATTCCTCTTACAGGTTTGATGGATAATGATGAAACTGTACAATGTTTTAGATCATTACCTTAGAATGTGAATTAAGGAATATAATCCCAGTCCAACATGATTAATTGGAGGTAATCAAATTTGCTGAGTGGATGGGAGGGGGTGCCTCTATGTGAGTTCATTTACAGCTCTAGTTTAGAAACTGGAATGAAATATCATTGAATATCATGAAAATTAGACAGAAGCAAATTTACAGTCTAAAGATAAAAATTTAACAAAAACTATTTTCAATTATACTGGGCTTTTAAGTATTTCACTCTAATATTTCTATTACATGTGTAAAAAATTTAAACCTTGAGTTACTGTATCAATTAGGAATTGCATTACATAGAATTATCATTAGACTTCTTTATAAAGTTTGAATAATCCATATTCAAACAGAACTTTATAAAAAATAAAAATGTCTAAACATAATGTTTTTCATTTTTTTTCAAGTTTTACATATGATTTCCAATGTAGCTCACCTGGCCAGGAAGGCCAAGTGAGCTTTTGCCATCGGTTTGCGTCCGTCGTTCGGTGCAAACTTTTTCAAAGATCTTGTCCTCTAAAACCAATGGACCAATTTCATATGACTTCTCAAAGGGGTTATTGTCCTTAAATTACAATATTTACCTTTTTTTTGGCAATATTGGCTATTTATCTTCAAAACTATAATAATAAAGGGAAACTGCATGTAGCAAAAATGACCAGCAGGATAATATCTACTACTAAGTCAACATAGCTGATATTGTCAGATGACTCCTTTAAATTATCAGCAGGACATATTGTCTAACTCCATAGTCTACCCCTTATAGGAGTTATTGTCATCGAAAGATACTTTTTGTCCATTTTTGTGAATTTTTGTGGAAACTATAGTAGATGGAGAGAACCTGTAAAAATTACAAATATGAAAAACAGAACAAGATCTGCTTTTAGGTCAGCATGGCAGAAATTGACAGTTGACTTGTGATAGAAGTAATGTAACCATTGAGTAAAGATTTTTAACCAGTTTGTGTTTCTTTGTGTTCAACTATATAAAATAAAGAGGAACTTTAAATAGCAAAAATTATCTGCAGTACAAGATCTACAAATCAATCAACATTCCTGAAATCATCAGTTGACTTCTTATAGGAGTTATTGCCCTTTTAGGATTATATTAAATTTTTTGGTGTTTCATTTGATTGAAATTATTCAAAATATTCTAATTGCATTGTATCAATTTTATGCAAAATTAGCAGGTTAAAAATACATGCTCCTTGGAGCCTCTAGTTTGGAAAAGTACCAACATATCTTCATGAGTGAAATATGCAATGAAGTATTATCTACAAATTTTATTATTTTCATTTTACAGGAGAGCAGTTACCCCTTACATTTGTTAGCTGTAGGACAGGATACTATCCTTATACACAGGTTATTGATGTATGGTAAACAATTTGCAGTTAAAACATGTAATCATACTTCATCCAATCACATGTCAGGAAAAGTCACATGTGACAAGTATGAAAGTTCCCCATACTTCATTGAGGGTAAGCATTGATAAAAAGAGGTAGGCTTATGCAAACTATAAAGGAATCATTAACTGTCTACTTTACTATGCAAAAAAAGGAAAAGATATGATAAGACTACTGTATTTGTCCATTAAGCTAGAGAAGAAAAATGTCAGATATTAGTAAAGATGTATTTGACTTTTCTCAATTTAAATTGTTTGTTATTTGAAACTGTTCACATTCCTACTCCTAAACCATAAAGGAGGAGGTATGATAAGAGCAAATCTGTCCAAAAATAGTAAATTTAATATCCCCCACGTGTCGCACCATGTGGCATATGGTACTGGTCTCTGTGCGTCTGTCCATCCGTCCAAAACAAGAGTAATGCTCATAGATTGTTTGATATAAAACTTTCATACTTGGTAGTATTATTTATCGTTATATTCTCTCAACCATGCTGGATTGTCAGTTTGAACTGTAACTTTTTACAGGAGTTGTGGCACTTTGTCCTTTTTAGCTCACCTGGCCCGAAGGACCAAGTAAGCTTTTCTCATCACTTGGTGTCCGTCGTCGTTGTCCGTCGACGTCGTCGTCGATCGTCGTCGTTAACTTTTTACATTTTGAACTTCTTCTAGAGAACCACTGAATGGAATGAAACCAAACATGGCATGAATGTTCCTTATGAGGTGCTGACCAAGTGTTGTTACTTTGATGCCGATCCATCATCCAAGATGGCCGCCAGCGGGGGACTTAGTTTAACATAGGACCCTATGGGAAATACATACAAATGTCTTCTTTTAGAGAACCACTGAATGGAATGAAACCAAACATGGCATGAATGTTCCTTATAAGGTGCTGACCACGTGTTGTTACTTTGAAGCTGATCCATCATCCAAGATGGCTGCCAGTAGGGAACTTAGTTTAACATAGGGAAATGAATTATTTATAAAAGAACAGGTTGATATAATCTTGACACTTGAGTGCAGAAAAGTCACTTGCTATGTGACATCATAAACATGAGGAATTTGACACATATGGCCATTTTACACATAGATTTTGATGAAAATAGATATGACTCAAGGACTAACCCAAAAGGATATTTTACACATAAGCATCTTTGTAAAATACATCTTGTAGCAAAATATCTTTTAGCTCATATCCAAATATTAATGACAAGATCTCAGATATAGGAAGATGTGGTATGAGTGCCAATTGGACAACTCTCCATCCAAGTAACAATTTATAAAAGTTAACCATCATAGGTCAAGGTACGGCCTTCAACACGGAGCATTGGCTCACACCGAACAGCAAGCTATAAAGGGCCCCAAAAATTACTAGTGTAAAACCATTCAAACGGGAAAACCAACGGTCTAATCTATATAAAAACGAGAAACAAGAATAAATTACATAAACAGACGACAACTACTGTACATCAGGTTCCTGACTTAGGACAGGTGCAAACATTTGCAGCGGGATTAAACGTTTTAATGGTACCAAAACTTCTCCCTTTTTCTGAAACAATAGTATAACATCACAACATAGAAAGACACACTATAAAATATCAATTGGAAGGCTTAACTCAATCAAAAAACGTAAATTAACACACAATGAACGAATAACTTTGATCTGTGATACCTGAATGCAAATACATAGTTAATAAAAATTATAAGGGATAAATAACTAAGGTCCAAAGTAAATAAACAGGTTGAAACAAAGTTAAAGTATGATACCACTGTGAAATGCTAAACAATATTTAGAAAATCATCACTTTTGAAAAAATCTGCGTCATATTATACACAGGTAAATGAAAATAATTTTGTATATATATATATTTTTTTTTTTATTAAGTGAAATTCTTTAATTAGATAATCATCTATTTTTATTAAAGTATATATTTCATTACATTTTCATTTATACATTGTGTAGATAAAAGTTGTTGACATTTTATAGATAAGCAACAAATCTATATTAGTTTGTGACAAATGAAAGAAAAAATATTTGGAACTATTAATTATATTTGATTGTAATTTGAAAATAGATATACATTGTATTACATCATATCTAATTTTAGAGAACTATTAATCATATCTAATGTTAGAGTGTTATAGGTTTTCCTCACTTTTTTCATCATGCTTGAAGATATTGATTGACAATTGGTATATAGTTTTATCATGACAAGTTACAGATCAAGTTCAAATTTTTGTTTCAGTCTGATAGTTTTGTGCAGAGTTATGGTCCTTGGACTTGAAAAAATTCACTCATATATTCAGTTTTCCACACTGTTTTTAGTCATGCTTGAAGATATTGACTTGATATTTTCTTTTTGTATACACCATGACAAGTTATAGAACAAGTTAGCATTTTATTCCAGTATAATGAATTTTTACCCGGTAGGGGACTATGTATTGCCATGCAATACTCTCAGAATGCTTGTTATTTTTTAGTTTAAGGCCAAAAAAGGTGACCTTACCATATCTTTCTTTTTCTCGATTGTCATGATGAGACCTCTAGTGGAAAGTAAAATAACAAAAATACCGAACTCCAAGGAAAATTCAAAACGGAAAGTGCTTTATCAAATGGCAAAATCAAAACTCAAACACATCAAACAAATGGAAAACAACTGTCATATTCCTGACTTGGTACAGACATTTCCTTATGTAGAAAATGGTCGATTAAACCTGGTTTTATAGCTAGCTAAACCTCTCACTTGTATGACAGTCACATAGAATTCCATTACTGTAAACAGGGAAATTTTCGTGGCAGTTTTATTTTCACTATTTTTGCGGTAAGAGTAGAAACGCGAAAATAAAACTTATTAGAATAATGAAGCAATCTATGAACGTATACTAATAGGAGTATTATTACACGGCCAATTTATAACAATGTTTATTTTTTCAGAGAACAGATATAAAAATTAAAATTTTATTTCTAAACGAAAGGCAGTGTTAGAAATCAAGACTTTTAACTCATGACAGTCGAATAAAAATGAAATTTATTTTGAGCAAGCGGAAATGATTGATATTGTTATATAAACAACACTCTGGACAGTTAGGTAAATGACACATTCAATCATTTTTAAAATTATTACCACATTATATCTGCTACACTGATTAATATGATCAAACGATTGATTAATTAGCCGTAATCTTCACAGCTTCTAATTTGCTCTTTTTAAAGCTATTCTTTTATGTTCATTGTGTACGTGTTTTTACAAGCAAACATAAAGGTATAGTGGTTAAATAATACTTGATATATGTCAAATAAGTTGAAATCTACATGGACATTCAGGAACTAAAGAAAACTGTTCACATTGTTAACACAAAATGGTTTTTTGATTGATTTTCAACACGTGCTTTATGATACATGTACAAGTATACCGTTTTTAAAATCATTTACTAAAATTTGTACAGGTGTAATACCACCAAATCATAGTACGTCACATCCGGTTGCATATGAAAATAGATCGAAAAAAAATATTCCCTTGAATTTGACAGTTGTAGGTAATTGATCCTACGTTTCATTGCAGTAAAACATTTCTGGGTCATAAACATATAACTTGGGTATTTCAAAGCCTCATTATTTTTTTATTTGGGGTTTCTATAGAATATTTTGGAAACTTGAGGTTACATGGTTACTAAAGCTTGTACACAGGTTAAAAAAGGGGGAAAATTTGATTGGTTAACTTCCAGTGATGGTTATTTTCTTATATGCAATGAAATGTTATGTGAAATTTTTTCTATAGTACTGGACAGGATAAAACTTTACTCATGCCAAGTATTTCTTTATTTGAAACAAAAATAAATTCTGCACAATTTTTTGAAAAGTGGAAATTTAACAAAGACTAATAGGGGAACATCAATGGTGGTATTACACCTGTATACAGGATTCCTACAAATTGCGAATTCAAGACTGCGGGAATTAAGATTCAGTATGTTAATCGCGAATTAAAGACGGTGCCAAAATTTCCCTGTTTACAGTAAACCATAGGTGGACCTATTTATATACATATATATATATATAAACACCTTATAAGATTGTTATAGTTTAATTTAAGTAGACTGATATATGATTCATTCAACATCACAATCATATTTACTGATGAAGGATATCTGTTATCCGAAATATTTATAAATAATTACATTTATAGTTCCTTTTTTTGTTATTGGTGTTGTTGTGTACACTTTTTAGGCATTTATATGATTTATTTATTGTGTACATGTATCGTTACTCGTAACGATCCAGCGCCCTCGTGGGAAAAATCGTTGACTATTATTCAGACGTTTCATATATATATATATATATATATATATATATACACAAGTCTAAATTGAAAACAACGTTCAATATATATATATATATATATATATATATATATATATATATTAATAAGTATCCTGAAAACTTTTCAGATCCATCAACTCTTAATTATAAATATTTTTTTTTCAAGGCAGTTTATAAATATTCTAAAGCCTGGTATTTCTTAATCATAAGAAATGTATAATTTACAGAACTTTGTCACTACAAATAGGCAGACATGTCTACATATAAATTTACAGTGATTGTATGCTTCTAATAATAGAATAGCATCCTGCAATTATACTGAAGAGATGAGTAGATGATCATTCCTGTACACTTAAAAGTACTTCGGGTATTGTGTTTAGACGTTCTTGTTTAATTACTACAAGAAGGTAACACATCCCGAAACAATTTAATAGTATAGATATATATATATTAATAAAATGATAAATAGAGTTAGATTTTTATTTTATTATCTACTTACCTGATTTTTGTGTTTTTTATGAATATATCTATTTTAAAAAGCTTTTTGCAACTGTGTACTGAGTTTAAGGTCTCTATTTCCATGACAAAACCTTTCTAATGCATCATAGATTTCTATAAATAAAGGAAAGATCACTTTTGATACTAAAACAGTTTGTACAAGTTTATTTTTAATTTTTTTTATCTGTATGTATTTTGTGTTTCAGCTGGATCATTTCATTTGGCGAAGAATGGTGTTTGCTATATTGGGGATGTAGAAAGATATAAAAAATCTGCAAAGGAACATATTCAGTCAGGTAAAAAGGCTTCCTATCAATATTTTGTTTTTTTGTCTCGCCTGCAACGAAAGTAGCCAAATGCGAGACCTACCGATAACTATTCGGTGGTGAGGTGGCGGCGTTAACTATTTATATAAAGCTTTATATTTCAGAAGGTAGAAGATCTAGATGCTTCATACCTTCGTCCTTGTATGCAGATACCTTATGTTACAAAGTTTTGGTCTGTCATATATCCACTGTCCTTGACCTCATTTTCATGGTTCAGTGACTGCTTGAAAAAAAATTATGTTTTTTTTTGTCATGTGAATTTCTCACTTATTATGAGTAATAAGATAACTGTATTTGGGTTCCTTGCATGTCTGTCTGGCTCGTATCATCTGACCTTGACCTCATTTTTATGGTTCATTGGTCAATGTTAAGTTTTTGTGTTTTGGTCTGTTTTTCAAGTACTATAAGCAATAGGTCAACTATATTTGGTGTATGGAATGATTGTAGGGGGTACATGTCTGTCTGGCTGGTATCATCTGACCTTGACCTCATTTTTATGTTTATTGGTCAATGTTAAGTTTTTGTGTTTTGGTCTGTTTTTCCAATACTACAAGCAATAGGTCGGCTATATTTGGTGTATGGAATAATTTTAAGGTGTACATGTCTGTCGGACAGGATTCATCTTACCTTGATTTCATTGTGATCATACTGATGGATCTTTATAAATGTAAATTTTATGTGATACTCGTAGTAAAACCTTTATCTTTGATACTTTCAACATAATATCAATGGTCAGTGAAGCAGGTGAGACGTTCATTCCTTGTTTCTTATTTTGAGCTATGTTTGGTTTTGCATCTTATTGTTTACCTTATGCATCAATGATTTGTAGTGTATGGCTAATAACCTATTGTTTGAGAAAACGAATATAAACCAACATGAATCTAAATAAATTAGAAGTCAAACAAAAAAAAAACAAATTTAACAATTTAATCATTTATATCAGATCAGTCATAGTAATCAATGTATTGAAACATTTCAGTTATGAGCGCACTTCATAATTCTTATTATCATTGTATGATTAAAGGAAATAAGAAATCAAGGGATGTTTTTAACTACTTAAAAATGATTCCAACTCTGCTCCTGTGCTGTTATGAATCACAGTTTATGGCCAAACTATGGTATTATGGTAAAACATTGATAAATTCAACAACACTTACTGTTATCTTGATGATATTTTTCGTTAAATAATCAAGAATTTTCTAAATATACTGCTGAAATTTACCCAAAGGTACTTACTTTAAATGAATCAAATATTAACAGCAATCAATAAGTGTCCTTTCCTAGATTTAGATATTTCAGATTTACAGGAGAAACTTTACACAAAATTTTCATCAAAAGGGACAATTTTTCTTTCCCTATTGTTAAATTTTCTTTTTTGGATGGTGATGTTCATTTAGCACCGTTAGACGGTGCTTATATATCCCAACTTGTTCTCTATGCCCATGTCTGTATTGACGTTTTGAATTTCAATGAGTGTAATCTATGTATTACTGGTAAATTAAGTAAGTAAGTTTTTCATTACCACAAATTACTTTAAACCTTTATTAAAATACAAAGATTTGATTTGCAAGTTTGGCAGTACCTGTAGAAAACTTATTTCAGATGAGATAGCACATCCTCATTTCTACGGTTATGATGTTTACCGATCCCTGAAATTTAGATACCATCCTGCTAAACTTATCGATCCATTAAATAACCTTATTCTAAAAGGTTACCAATTCAACACTGTAGTTAGATCTTTGAATATTGTTTTTATTGGTATGAATATAGATTTTGTTATCAGTAAATTAAAACCATACTTAATATTATTGTGGCAATTATGTATATAATTATAGTTTATAGCCATTTTTACCCCCTGGTGCCCCTCTTAAGGAATTTCATCCGTGTGGTCATTCCAGCCTCACTTTGGTACAATGTACAAGACGTCTCAGATTTCAATAACCTTGAATAATAGGCAGTTATTTCCTAATGTAAAATGACGACAATATACGGATATCTACATGTACGAACAAACTAGTAAATGTCTCATGTCATATACCACAATAATAGAACTGGATACATGTATTAAAAAAGCCAATCTTTTGAACTTTACCAACCTATTACTATTTCTTGCATGACTTAAAGACCAACAACATTGTGACCTGAGCAAACTATACCAACTTATAAGTCCTATACTGTAGTATTAAATAAACTATTGCCAAGTTTGAACTGATGCTGCTTCTAAGAACATGTATACGAGATTCTATTCGTTTTTGCTGTCTCACGGATTTATACCAGCACCTCTATCATACTTTGAATCTATATATGTTAACAACAATAGGATAAAAGAAACATTTTATTACGAACTAAGCATTCTAATCTAACAACATATATACATATTTACATAAACAAATTACAACTTGGGAAAACTGGGGACTAACAGCTGTTTGACACTTTAGAAATTAAAATTGAGTTATCCCCCTTTTCATATAAATATAAAAATTAAAACTTGGGGGATAAGATACAAAGGCTGATGTGTAGAATTTGTATCGAATTGGCCAAATACAGGTGTGAAGCAGCTGTAACCCCCAAGTGGAATGGGGAACCTTTGTTGCCAGTACAATTTAACCTAACTTCTGTCTGTCTCTGCTAATTGTTTTTGAGCATTTTTAAGAACATTAGGAGAAGTATGAATGTATCTTGTGTAACAATTAGATGACCATCTACCAAGTGTTTGAATTAAATGATCTTCAAGACGGGCTTCTTGAGCAGATGTAGCTGCACCAATTCGAAAGGAGTGTCCTTTGTAGGAGTCACTAGATAAGCCTAATTTGTCGAGTAAAATTTTGACATGTGAAATGGAAAATTTTCTGTTTAAAGGTTTCCTATCTTCAGAGATGAAAAAAGCCTCAGTATTAGAAGAGTACACAGACTGCCTCAACTGATTGTATTTCAATATAAATAAAAACAGGACAAATAGAATAACCTGTTTTGTAAAGTGGAATAGTAATACCTTGTCTAAAAGGATCAGTTTTAGACTTTTTAAGAGTTACAAAAATACAGTCAGCAGTGATTTGCATATCACTGCAGCATAAGTTACATTCAGGATCAAACTGATTCATTACAGTGAATTCACCACATCTTAAAAAACCAAAAAAGGCTGTTGTACAGGCAGCCTCTAACATAATACTATTGAAATTACCAAAAATACACGTATGTAGTAATTTACACATTTTTGACAAAATTGACATAGTTATAGGTAAACGTTTGCGTTTGACAGTAGACCCCTGTTTTTTCTTTAAACCAATTAAAATTGTTTTAAGACACTCAAGAGGCTTTCCAAAACTAATTAATGGATTAAAAACCTCCATACTTTAAAAATGAAACCTTATGCCACATAAATATAATTTAATTGTTGAATGACATAATTGTTTGTGTTCGGCACAATATGCTACGAAGCGCATAAGCAAGTTTTCTGACACAGGTGGGAGACGGTCTTTATCCCAAGTTGATCCATCTAATAAAAGAAATCTTGTATATAATTCGATTCCTGTATTATACACACTACTGGTGTTACTAGAAAGTGAATAATTCCACAAACTGTCTATTGTGCAGTCCAAAGGATCTCTGACAGTGACGGACAAGGTGTTGGTTCTCTCTCGGCTTCTGGTGCTAATTTTCAGAATTTGTGTATCTGAAAACGAGATAAAGCATCTGCTATAGTGTTACTCTCACCAGGTAAATGTTCACTAAAAACCGCAAAATTGTTATATACAGCACACATTGTTAAGCCTCTCATAAGTTTCATTATGCATGGTTCTTTTGAGCGACCTTTTTTAATGATATGAACTGTAGCAGCATTGTCACAATAAAAAAGGATCTTTTTTCCACACCACTGTTTACCCCATAAAAAGGCTCCAACCACTATAGGGTATAGTTCTAAAAAAGCCATCGATTCTGAATAGTCTTTAATACTTGGCAATTCTTTTGGCCATTTATCATAAAACCATTTGTTTTTGAAAAAAACACCAAAACCAATAGTAGATGAAGCATTAGTATATAACGAAATACTAGATGCTGTAGTCAGTTGATTGTCATTAAATAAATTGATACCATTCCAATTTGTTAAGAATTCTAACCACATCTGTAGATCTGCTTTGTATTCCTTGTTAAGATGTACATAATGATAACTTTCTTTAACTGTTGACATGAGTTTATATAAGTAAGTCACAAATGCACGGCCTGGTATAATAACACGACTGGCAAAATTTAGGTGACCCAATAATTGTTCTAAGTCTTTCCTAGTACAGGTTCGTTTATGTATCATTGTTTTGATAAATTCAGTAATACGAACAATTTTGTCTTGTGGCAGACGAGCTTGCATGTTAACAGTGTCTAAAATAATACCCAAATATTCAAGTACAAAAACTGGGCCTACTGTCTTCTTAGCAGATAATGGTATATTTAATTTGTTAAAAATTAATGATAATATAGACATTGTTTTTTCACCACACAAATTTGGTTTATCTATGGTTAAAAAATCATCCAATAAATGAAAAATAACACCTATATTATAATTGTTCTTGGCTATCCAGCATATGCTTGTGGATAACATGTCAAAAAGTCTTGGACTTGAACGACAACCAAAAGGTAATCTTACATAGTTATAATATTTATTGTTCCATTTAAAACAAAAAAGATGCCATTGTTTTGGACTAATAGGCAATTGTTTGAACGCGTCTTGGCAGTCCACTTTGCAGCAGATACTTTTTGGTCCATAGTTTTGAATTACATTTATTGCATCGTCCAACTTAATGTAAGACAGAGAACATAAATCTTTGTCAATTAAATCATTAATACTAAAGTGTTTTTCTTGTTATGCGGCGAGGAAAGATCCAGAATCAGTCTTTTCTTAAATGAATACTTGTGAGTGGCAATGCCAATAGGACTCACTCTATATGCAGTGAAAGGAGGGATATTAAATGGACCAT